AGAGAGAGAGAGAGAGAGAGAGAGAGAGAGAGAGAGAGCTGTGGAGAGAGAGAGAGAGAGAGAGAGAGAGAGAAATGACTAGAGAGAGAGAGTGGGCGGTGAGAGTGAGAGAAAGAGATAGGAAGGCGAGAGCGAACTAAATATAGATGAAAGAGTGACAGCGAGCGAGAGAAGGGGTTAGAGAACGCACGCGAAAGAGAGGGCGAGAGAGATCGTGAGAGTGAGAGGAAGGCGAGAGCGAGCGATGGATAGATAAAGAGAACGAGAAGGAGTGAGAAGGGGAGAGAGAATGCGCGCGAAAGAGAAGGCGAGAGAGAGAGAGATGATGCGAGTGAGAGTTAAAGAAAGCGAGAGGAAGGCGAAAGCGAGTGAAAGAGAGTGAGAGAGAGAGCGAGGCAGAGACACAGAGAGAGAAAGAGAGAAATGACGAGAGAGAGAGGGGGCGGTGAGAGTGAGAGAAAGAGATAGGAAGGCGAGAGCGAGCCAAATATAGATGAAAGAGTGACAGTGAGCGAGAGAAGGGGTTAGAGAACGCGCGCGAAAGAGAGGGTGAGAGAGAGATCGGGAGAGTGAGAGGAAGGCAAAAGCGAGCGATGGATAGATAAAGAGAACAAGAAGGAGTGAGAAGGAGAGAGAGAATGCGCGCAAAAGAGAAGGCGAGAGAGAGAGATGATGCGAGTGAGAGTTAAAGAAAGCGAGAGGAAGGCGAGAGCGAGTGAAAGAGAGCGAGAGAGAGAGAGAGAGGCAGAGACACAGAGAGAAAGAGAAATGACGAGAGAGAGAGAGAGAGAGAAAGAGATAGGAAGGCGAGAGCGAGCCAAATATTGATGAAAGAGTGACAGCGAGAGAGGGGGGTGAGAGCGAGAGAAGGGGAGAGAGAACGCGCGCGAATGAGAGGGCGAGAGAGATAGATAGGTGAAGCGAGAGAGGCAGCGACACAGAGCGGGGCGAGGATGAGAGCGTGCGCGAGAGAGAGAGAGAGGAGGGGTGAAAGTGACAGAAAGAGAGGAAGACGAGTAGGCCAAATATAGATGAGAGAGTGACAGCGAGAGAGGGGGGTGAGAGCGAGAGAAGGGGAGAGAGAACGCGCGTGAAAGAGGGCGAGAGCGAGATAGATAGGTGAAGCGAGAGAGGCAGAGACACAGAGCGCGGGCGAGGATGAGAGCGTGCGCGAGAGAGAGAGAGAGAGAACGAGGAGGCGCGAGGGAGAAAATGTGGGAGTGAGAGAGATCGAGAGCGAGAAAGGGAGAACAGGAGAGGGGGAGGTGATAGCGAGGGAGAGGGAGAAACATTGACAAAGTGCGAGAGTGAGTAAGATAGAGAGAGAGAGAGAGAGAGAGAGAGAGAGAGACAGCTAGAGAACGAAAGGAAGGCGAGAGCGAGCGATGGATAGATAAAGAAAAAGAGAGAGAGGAGGGGAGGGGAGAGAGAGAATGCGCACGACAGAGCAGGCGAGAGAGATGGTGAGAGTTAGAGAAAGCGAGGGAAAGATAGATAAAGAGAGAGAAAAGATAGAGTACGTGCACGAAAAAGAGGATGAGAGCGAGAGTGAGAAAGAAAGAGAGAGAGAGAGAGAGAGAGAGAGAGAGAAATGACGAGAGAGTGGGCGGTGAGAGTGAGAGAAAGAGATAGGAAGGCGAGAGCGAGCCAAATATAGATGAAAGAGTGACAGCGAGAGAGTGGGGGTGAGAGCGAGAGAAGGGGAGAAAGGGGAGAGCGAGAGTGGGCGGTGAGAGTGAGAGAAAGAGATAGGAAGGCGAGAGCGAGCCAAATACAGATGAAAGAGTGATAGCGAGCGAGAGAAGGGGTTAGAGAACGCGCGCGAAAGAGAGGGCGAGAGAGATCGTGAGAGTGAGAGGAAGGCGAGAGCGAGCGATGGATAGATAAAGAGAACGAGAGGGAGTGAGAAGGGGAGAGAGAATGCGCGCGAAAGAGACGGCGAGAGAGAGAGATGATGAGAGTGAGAATTAAAGAAAGAGAGATGAAGGCGAGAGCGAGTGAAAGAGAGAGAGAGAGAGAGAGAGAGAGGCAGAGACACAGAGCGCGGGCGAGAGACACAGAGAGAGAAAGAGAGAAATGACGAGAGAGAGAGAGTGGGCGGTGAGAGTGAGAGAAAGAGATAGGAAGGCGAGAGCGAGCCAAATATAGATGAAAGAGTGACAGCGAGAGAGAGGTGGTGAGAGCGAGAGAAGGGGAGAGAGAACGCGCGCGAAAGAGAGGGCGAGAGCGAGATAGATAGATAGGTGAAGCGAGAGAGGCAGCGACACAGAGAGCGGGGGCGAGAGAGAGAGGAGGGGTGAGAGTGACAGAAAGAGAGGAAGACGAGTAGGCCAAATATAGATGA